TGTTATCTGTATGCACCAAGGGTCTGAGAGTAACGCAATTTCAATTCTCTGTGTGTATGTGCTGTACATGTGGAAGAATTGACAATAAAGCAGACTTGACTTGACTTGACTATATATTGTGGAAACCTAATTTGCAGTAAAGTTGCTTTGCAACGATTTGTATCGTGAAAAGCTCTATACAGATAAACTTGAATTGAATTGTTTGGAGACAATTACCCGAGTTTTCCACCAGTTCCCTCACATCCCTCTTCTCTGCCAGGCCGGAGTATCCCAGACCACGACACTCCAGAATGGTTTTGAGTTTCTTGAAGCTCAATGTCACCGGATCCACCAGCTGGGTGGCGAAAATTCCCGTCTCATACCAGACGATGGCTTCAAAAAACCGAGCCAGGATGAATAACATGAAAAAATACAGGAGCAAAAAGAAGAGTTTCCACCACATTTTCTCGCAGACGGAAGAGTTGTCGTTGTGGTCTAGCTGATTTGCATTGAAACTACAGTATTATGAGGCACTGGCGTTTTTTATATGTCTCCAGCGAAACGACTCCCTAAGCAGGCAAGAATCGTTTCCATCGTATTATATAATTATGTGGAGGCAGAGCGTCAAAACAACAGCTTCAGATAAGGGACCTTCGGCAGCAGGCCAGTGTGTTTTGTCCCTCAGTGCTGCGCGACTAAACGAACCGCGGTCTTCATTTATAAACATTTACTGCCCTGTCGCGTTTTCCTCGATATTGTGTTTGCGATTCTTGCGAACGGTAATGTTTCCGTGCGCGTGAGTAGTTGTCGGCTCTGGCTGATCTTCTTCTTGTACGATTTTATGGCGGTTGACAAGCCAACTTATGGTGTATTACCGCCACCAACTGGACTGGAGTGTGAAGCATTAACGGGAAAGAGGGAAAAAGGAAGCCAAAAAAAAAAACAAAAACAAAAAAACAAAACAAACAAAAAAAAAAACCATTCCATAAATAAATAAAACAACCGGTAGTATTATTATGACATTTACATTCTACTTTCTAATCCTGTTATCTTCAGATAACTAAGAATTTCTCTCATAGTACTTGTCTGTCCTGAGGCACAACTTAAAAGATTTGATATAGTGAAATTAATTACTCCTATGTTTCTCAGTTTCTTAAATAACTCCTCTCTTTCTTTGGTATATACTGCACAATGTAAAAGTACATGCTCAATGGTCTCTGCTTCACTGCATGTAGTACACAATCCTGACTGATGTTTCCCTATTGTGAATAATGAATGATTTAAACCAGAATGTCCTATTCGAAGTCGAGTAATTATTATGTCTTCTTTTCTAGCTCTGGCTGATGATCAGCTGGTACGCATAACAAGCTGACGTCACACTGATACTTCCGGTGCAAAACTGAGTTCTAAAATGAAAAAGGCGCGTGTAGGCCTCGTTAACTCTTTCGCGTAAGATGTATTGAGTGTTAATATTAATATGATATGTTTTATTAATATCTGTTCATTCAGATATTGTTTTAAATATTTTACTATTATTGTACATTATTTTGTTTGTAGATTAAAGAAAGCGAATTAAGAGCTTTATACCTTTACTTTTGTTTAATGTTTTGCTTTTGCAGGTTTTTAATTTACATACTTTTAATTGCATTATTTTAGTATTGATATTTATTATTTTTATTAAATTGTGTGTGTTTTTTTTTTAGACTTGTTTAAATACGTTACCTGTTGTTAGTTGCATCAATAAAGGTGTCATAAAATAAAAGCCCTCGGGATTTCAGTTTTTTTGTCCTATATCATCTCACTTGTTTGCATCTGTTTGCAGCACCTTTATTCTAAGCTCAAGTGCACATCATAACAATATCAAGGTATTATTATCATGGTGGATTTATCATTATATATCAAATGCTGTATTATTTTAAATATGCATTTTAACAATTGAAGACTTAAGTGCAGTATATCTGTTTTGTAAAGTTGTCGACCATCAAACATATATATATATATATATATGTGTGTGTGTGTGTGTGTGTTCTCTATTATTGATCAGTGATCACATATCAGAATTCCATAGTTAATTAAATATTTTAAAATCTGTATTCAATAAATTTAATTTATTATTAAAATACGTTTACCGCTTTGTAGGTTTTATGCCTGTTTTTGTAATGTTCATGAGAATCAAAAAGTGTCACAAAATAAAAGCCCGCATTTTGTCCAGGGCCAATCCATTTCAATCAATTGAATTCCCTTTACGGGCTGGGATAAAATAATATTTAAATCTCATATAGTGTAAGTTGTCCTCTTCTTTAATTAAAGCTCCCATCAATAGGTAAGCGCAAATGCTAACGTGAGTTGTTGTTGTGTCTGTTGAAGGGAGCGGCCGCGTCTCGTCGCGTCAGCGCGGAGGAGGGCGTGGCGTGGCGCGTCTGACGCGTCTGACGCGGCGAGCTGGATCAGCCGAAGTGAAGTCTCCTCTACACTTCAATAGATCAGTGTCGCTCTTGGCGCTTTCAAAATAACATTATTTGTCAGAAATGGAGGTAAATACATGCAACATTCAAGTGCTCCTGCAGGCAGCTGAATATTTGGAGCGGAGGGAAAGAGGTATTAGACGCGTTATATCTTTCACATTGTTTGCATTGAAACCGAAGCCGTTTTGGACAGTCTGCTGTTTGCTTGTGTTTTGCACACATTCATTAATGTTTGTATCATTTATTTCCTCATGTGGGCACTGGGTGTGTCTTCTCTTTTGCAGAGGTTTGTTTGTGTATCTGTAGAGTAATAAACATCGCTTTTGCTGTTGTTGTTGTTGTGTCGTGTTTGGCTCGCTGACCTACATTTCAGTTCTGTATTGTACACAAAGGCGCGAAATCGTCATAGATTTGAAAATGTAGCAGCGCTGGCCGTTATTCTGCTACAGTTACAGCGGGTCAACAAGACGTAACGTAAATTACTGGATACATAGTTACAGTGGAAAGCTTTGTTTTCAAAATTGCCAAATCGTTCGATGGCGCCAAAACCAGAAAGCGGTCTCGCATACAGCTGATTTGATGAGACGCTGACATATAGCAGATGTTTCCTGTATCTGGTATAGCAGAACATTAATATTTGTCTTTTTAGATTTATAATCAGGCAACGGTCATACGTCCGATGTTTCTGTAGATGTCCGAAATAACTTATTTGTAGCTTGTATATAAGGATCGTATATAAAAGGAAGTAGGCTGGGCTATTAATCACTCATGTTATGTTTTATACATTTTCAGAGGCCGAGCACGGTTATGCCTCAGTGCTTCCATTCTACAGTAAAGGAGTTACAGATAAGAGAAAAAAGCAGAAATCAAAGAGTCATTCGCCTGGGAGCAGCAGGTGAGTGTAAGGTGTTGTTTTGTTATTGTACAGCTCTGTGCATCTTCTAAAACAGTGAATCTCAACCTTTTGGCGTACCGGACCCCAGTCCAATTCAAAACCATCCTCAAGGACCCCCAGAACAAAATTGACTCATCTATGTATCATTTGTGTCTTTGTGAGGACCAAATACAGTCAAGTATAATTCAAGTTAGCTGACTTGTCCAGTATTTGGCCATATCATCAGCTATATTGGATTTTTCTTTCATGTGAACATGTCATGTCAAAATATACAAAATTTATACAAAAATGTATACTTTATACGGACCCCCTGGCCTTATGTCAAGGACCACTAGGGGTCCACGGACCCCTGGTTGAGAAACACTGCTC